CTTGTCAGCTTTTGCCTCCAGTGCAGGATCTGTCCCTCCCCCACCACCTTGTTTTAACTCCTCTCTTACTGACCTCAGAGACAAACCGCACTGAAGGATCACTTCTTCCCATAAAACAAGACTTTAAACTATTTTAAAACATTTCTTTTGACAGAGAAGCAATGTGAGATGATGCTAGGTGAAATGAGGACCAGAAGAAAAGGAACTACCAGATAGGAAAATGTCACCTTAGAAAACAACCAGTCAAACATGATGTTCAAGTGGCAATGACAGACAGAAGTAACTAAAGACAAGATGAGGTAGATTAAAATTCAAGAAATCCAGCACAAGCAAAATGAAACAAATTGTTTTTATGAAGCTATCCAAAGAACTTCACACTTAACTTTCCAGTAATTAGTCTAAATCCTGGGAATTCTGACTTCCAAAGCTCTTTTACTCTTGCTAATCCAGTCAGAGCTAAATTTCTTCTTATGAGCATGTGAGTTAGAATGGACAATTTCTTAGGATTACACTATTTCATAACTGGGTTAGGATTCATCCTAGACTCATTTGAGACTCCAGGTTATGTGTATTTTTGGGAAAGGTTACCACATAATTGACATAAGTGAGAAATCACTCTTCTGCTATACTTGAATAAAACTGTACTACCCCGAGGTATATGCTCAGGTATTAAGAGATGTGCCCCCAGCTTTTTTTTTTTTTTTTTTAAACAAATCTTCTCAAGAGATAGTACATTTTAAGCTTAAAGCCCACCTCATGTTCACTCCTCCAAAAGGGATAAGAAACTGAAATATGCATGAGCAACTTTGATAACATGTCCATGAAGAACAGCGTTACAGAATCTACAAACAATAGGATACGTAACATAGCTGATGCTTTCCACAAGCAAGAACTAACTACATCACTGAATACTTTGAAAGAGGACAAGCCAGGGACTCAAATCAGGGGTCCTCTATACCCACTCATCTGTTTTCTCTCTCCATAATGACAGCATTTTTAACTCAGCTTTGTTTATTTTCTGGAAAACAATTTTGCTGTGTTCCATGGCCAATTAGCTCAGTTCATCCAAGGCCATAGGTCTTTTCCACATATGAACTAATTAATGTCACCTTCCTACTCTAGAGCTCAAAACTACACCACATCAGTCAGCTGTCTCTGCCCCTAAACCAGAACTTTATACCCACTTGTTATCTTTTTTAAAAAAAATATTTGATTAGTTGTTGGTGTGGTGCTGAGAATCGAACCCAGTGCCTCACACATGCTAGGCAAGCGCTCTACCACTGAGCTACAACCCCAGCCCCCACTTGTAATCTTTACTATACAAAATTATTAATGATCAGTTCATCCCATACCAATATGAAAATTCTCTTGAGTGTAGAAGGATGGCCCCTTTTTGAACTTGGTATCCCCAGGCCAAAAAATGTTTGTTGAATGAAATCACCAAAGTTGATGTACATTAACATGGCGAAAATTCAGACAGCTCAATGCAAAACTCGGGGCACCCAATTCAGAGCATATGCCTTTGTGTGCAAGGCTGGACAACATCTGTTTTTGAAAACATAATCTTCATTAGAGGGTGAAGCCAATGTCAAACAGTGGCTCCAGACCTTTCCTCTCTGCCTTGGTACAGACATGCCTGATGATTCAATTATAAAAGTACAGACCTCAAGTCTATACTGTGTTAGACTGTAAGTTAAGACTGTAAATAACCCTAACTTTGACTCTAAAAATCTAAACCAAAGGGATGGGGTCATAAATCCTTTTTTTTAGCCCATCTGAGATTTTTCAATTCAGCTCTAATGGGGCTCTCACACCCTCACAAAGTAGTGTTTTACACCCTCAAATTTGAACCCTAGTGCTGGAGACAATGATTCCTCAGTCTAAATGCTGCTCCTTCACTGTTCCTTAGTGAGCTGGATTAAAGCACAGGCCCAATAAAAACTCAAGACGAAGTCCTAAAACCTTTCCCAGTGCCCTGTGATTTGGACTGAATGTAAAGAAAACAGACAACAGGTAGTTCCAGAACAGGAATAAAAAGAATTAAGAATAATAACTGCCTGGGCTGTGGGAATAGGACCAACAACCAAAAGTATGCAGATATGGTTGGGGGACAGCCAAGGACCATCTAGAGTTGTTAGTGCTGGGAGCACCACAGGTTCAAATGTTCCTGAGAGCCCGTTTGAACAAGAAAAAAAATAATAATAATAATATGGCTCTCTCCAGGTTTAAAATGGGCACTGCCCTCCCTCCAGGCTGACCTTCCCAGTAGTGGACTTTAACCTGAGAGCCATTTGTGCAGTCCTGGGAATCAGAAGACCTGCTAAGCTGTCCCTGGTAGACTCTACTCCAAAAAGCTCTGTTAAACTCTGTAGAAAGGGATATCGCTTACTGCTGATTATTGGAAGAAATTCAGCATTAGAATGATGTTTTGAAAGAGAACTGAACACAGGAAAAATATACCGTGAGCACCTGAGACCTACGCATTTAAGAGTGTTTTCTTTGCAAACTGGGTGCAACAGCACACCTGTAATCCCAGTTACCTGGGAGGCTGAGACAGGATTCCAAGTTGGAGGCCAGCCTGGGCAACTTGGCAAGACCCTATCTCAAAATAAAATAAAAAGATCTAGGGATGTAGCTCAGTGGTGAGCACCCCTGGGTTCAATCCTCAGTAAGGGGAAGGGGGTGCTTCACCCATGGCTACAAACTCCTCAGAGAGGAGAAAGTTCCATGAAACAGATTTGTTTGAGGCTGCAATTCTCCAATGGAGAGAACAACTACCCAGCACCAACAAATGCTGGAGGCACTGGCAGGCATCTGGTTTCCTTTGTGCTAAGGGCTGAAATTAGTATTGGTGCTCTGGTTCCCTACATTCCACACAACCAGCTGTGAGTAGCAAGGAGAGAACAAAAGTTGTTTTGATGGTAACTCAGAAAACCATGATTCTATAAACTGAAGACAGAAAAAGATGAAATGAAGAGAATTAAAGGGGTGATGAGTAACAGATGACACTAGGGTCATTTTGGTAAAGGAAATTCAGACTTTGATAAATGTGTTCAACATTACCTATAGCCACAGCAAAACATCGTGTACCTGGTTTCAAGGACTAATCTCAGTACCAAATATTGCTGTTTTCCTTGTCCATGTGCTAGATTTGATTTTAAAAACATGGTCACTGCAGTTCATATAACCACTATCACTGGGAGGCATGCACTGGTTACTTAGGTAGGTTAGCATTTTCTCCAGCAGTCAGTCAAAGTGATCTGGGTGATACCCTCCTCAGGAGCTCTGGACATCTTTTGCCCTTTTCTTACCTACCCTGATATCCTATGTTACTTGTACGAAAAATCTGTTTTCTGACCATCCTTCTTTTCTTGCTGATGCCCATCAGATTAAATACAAATGACTGTCAATGATCTACCACTTGATCCGGCCTTTAAATCCTTCATAGAGCAAAGGAATATGGAGATAAAAACTCCTACCCACGTGAGGTATGGGTTATGAGCTCTCCCCCAATCACATTACCATTCAGAAAGATTTTCCTGGCTGACTTAAACCAAAAGCTCCATTGTTCCAGTCTGTCCTGTCACTGTAGCAACAGCTGTCTTCTCAACTGTGCAGTATAATTTTTGACATAATTTATACAAGCATATAGAATTGAATCAGCAGCTGAGCAGGGAAGCAATGTAACAAATGCTATGAATGGGTATATGATTTGCATATTATTTGGCTCATCTGTGGACTGGAGCAATCCACCATTCCCCTCATTACTATGAATAATCTAGCAATGGCTGAATGCTCCTGGCCAGACAGCTATATGTTTTAAAAATCAAAAACAACAACAAAAACAGCCTTAATGGCTGGCAAACTCTAGAATTAAGGCTACTTCAAGCATTTATTCTTATTTCCTCAGCTTTGAGGCTGGGACAAGGATGCTCAAACCCTGCTACTTCCTTATGTTTAGTCCTGATTCTCTAGCCCTCTCAATTACAAGAAAAGGATAAAGGGAAGTAGGGCATTGTTTGGGGGACAAAGGCAGAAGGATATGATCAGGAAAAAAATCTCTCAATAGCAAAGCAAGAGGAAACCAAAAGGGAACTATTTGGCTGAGTAGGGAGTAAAGGTTGTGTCGACATGCTAATGCAAGGACCTGCCACTTTCTGAGGTGATAGTTTTCCATGAAAATGGGTTTTAAAAAATAAGATTCAAATAAAATTTGAGGGTGGAAAAGGAGAAGAGCATTAATACTTTGTGGACTCTGTTGGCAAATCCAGGAGTCAAAAAAAGCAGTAAACATATATATAATTGTTAATGAAAATTTAAAATTGATACTGTGGCCAATGGCTCCCCTCCAATAATTCCCCACTGAAAATAATGACATGGAAGGGCAACATAGTTCCATTGAGAAGAGAGAGTCAGGTTTGAAGCCTCTTTGGTAACAGGAATGCTTTGGGAGGCCACAAAAGTTGGCAGGGTTGGAGGGTGCCTAGCACCTTGGCACAAGCAAGCACCAGGCAATCACTCACACCTACATAAATACAGTCTAAATATAAGGGATGGAAGGAAAGAATACATACACATCATACATGATAAAGACAACTGTTTCTTGCCCCTACCCCATATCCTCCTGTCCCATAGTTAATAATCTTGTCATTTTATGACAAACTTACAGAAGGAGAATCAGGGATTACTAAGAACAAGGCCAAAAATCCTAGGGCTAAAAGGAGGGCCTTGATAAATTTCAACATAAAATTTCAAGTCCTCCAAAGGACGGAGTTATTCTGGGAGGATGGGTGAGGATGAACAACAGAGGGTAGCCCAGAAGAAGACCACATCAGGGACCCTGCATTCTCCTGGGTAGAGCTAAAGAAGGTTGGGAAAGCCCCAACAGGTAGGCAGTTGCTATTAGCTTTTTAAAAGATGGGCAATATTCTTTCCATCCCAACATGTTAAAATAAAGGCCAGCTGGTCATCAACATATTCTAAGAAACAAAGCAAGAAACCAAAATTCATCATCATTGTAATAAAATCCCCCGATCTAAAAAGCAACCAACCCTGAAAAGATCAAGACTCTTAAGGTGATTAAAAAGTTAAAACTTATCTTGAGGTCACAGGGGAGCAGAAGGAAGAGATAAGGGCAATGGGAATTACACACAGTATGTAAATGCCTGGTCTTCACAGAAAGACACTTATCATGAATCAGACCATCAGTTATGTTACAAGAGAACCAATACCAACATTTCTCCTGTGGAGCACAGTGATAAGCACATTTTTTTATGGATGTGTTTAGGATAGAAGAGGGTGGGCAGAAGGGAAAGGCAGGGAGGCGAATGTATTATGTACAAAGAGAAATGACAGAGACCACCCGTCCTTTAGCTCTTTGAGGTTTCTTTCTCTTTGTTTTCCGCATCCTCAGGATATGCATGCCACGTCAGTCTCTCTTCATAAAATGCTATCACAATTTGTGGACATTTCACATTAGCTTCTTTTGCAAGAACCAAGTCGGCTTCATCTGTGTCTTTCCTGGAAGGAAGAATAAAAGACTTAGAAGGAAATGAAGTAAGAGGGAGAGAATCTGTCCAAACAGACTTTATGTCACTATGCGCACTGAACTGACTTGATGTCCTCCTCAGCTTTATTTCAGGGTGAAAGGATAAATAATACATTATTCTACTTTTGTAAGTTTTATTTGTGTGTCTCAACATGTGAGTAAACACAATTAAACATGTACTCAGCATAATTATGATATGTGTAAACCTAGTTTCTGAATCATTTTAAGCAAAGAGATCTAATCCTCCTCATTTTGTGGCCTTTTAAATACTCATTACCTTTGGTCATAACTGTGATCCCCCCACCAATGCCAGGATCAAACCCAGGACCTCATGCATGCCAGGCAGATGCTCTACTACTGAGCCACATCCCTAGCCCAAGAACTGTGATTTGAAACAATAAGAACATGGAAATTTGGTGAAAATTCCTATTACCCAAGTCACATAGCCCCATTACCAAGTAAAAACAAAATTATCTTAGCAACACAATTATTTGTAATTAATCAAAAAAAATTTTAAATTCTCCTGAGATGTGGACAAATATAGCTATACTTTCTTTTCTAGAAATTTGAGCATTTAATTCACAGAGGTAAGTATTATGGATGAGAGGAAATAGAAAATGCATAGCTTAGAGCAGATACTTAATTTTGGACTATGGTAGAAAAAACTAGTTAAATATGTGAATGCAGGTGGGCACACCTATAATTCCAGTGACTCAGGACACTGAGGTAGGAGAATTTCAAGTTCAAGGCCAACCTCAGCAACTCAGTGAAATCTTGTCTCAAAATAAAAAGAAAAAAGAATTGGGGATATAGTTCAGAGATTAGATGTACCCCTAGTTCAATTTCCAGTATCAACTACAACCAAAAAGTTAAAAATAAATTGTGCTCTACTAGTGAGCTGGACCACTATCCCCAATTTTATGTTTTATGTTATATTACTTTTTGGTACCAGGGATTAAACCCAGTGGTATATAACCACTGAGAAACATCCCTAGCTCTTTTCATTTTGTACACCGAGAAGGGTCTAAGTTGTTTAGGGCCTCACTAAGCTGCTGAGGCTGGCTTTGAACTTTGATCCTCCTGCTTCAGCCTCCTGAGTCACTGGGATTATAGGTGTGCATCTCTGCACCCAGCCCCCTTTTTATTTTGTTAGACAGGGTCTTGCTAATTGCCCAGGCTGGCCTTGAACTTGCAATCTTCCTGCCTGAGCTTCCAAGTGGCTGGGACTATCTTGGTTAATCACCCCACCTTTAAGAACCCAAATTGAGCTGGGCACATTGATGCACACCTGGAATCCCAATGACTCAGGAGGCTAAAAACAGGAAGATCTGAAGTTCAAGGCAGCCTCAGCAACTTAGCAAATGTAATCTGTCTCAAAAAATAAAAAGAACTGGGGATGTAGCTCAGTGGCAAAGTGCCCCTGGATTCAATCCCTAGAAATAAATAGATACAACAAACTGAAAAAAGTACTGCACTTTACTTCAAGAGCCACTTTCTCTACTGGCCAAAGTAACCTTTGCTTTGGTCAGTATTAGCCTTAATATTTTTCGTTGAGGTTATTTTTCTCTTTTTGATCATTCAGTGGTCTTAGCCCTCAGGAATGGTAGAAAGTCTAATTCAACTCTTATTGTCACAGGCTCATGATCTTACAGTAAATAATTCAGAACTGTATAAACAGATAGTTTATGCTTTCTACTTTTTTCTGATATATGGGCTACTATAACATAATTTGGTTTCATAATGAAGCTTGAGAATGTCATAAATACATTGTGAATCACAATTCCCATTTAATGCCAGATAGCGGGCATAGGATTTGGACCTCTGAAATTCAAAATTCTTAGTTTGGGAATTCTCAGTCTTGTCACTCTATCTTCCATACAAATTCAAAGAAACACAATCATGAAGTGGAGCCCAATCTCTCTCACCATTTCATTAGGAACATTAAATCACCACAGGAATCTGTCGCCCCAATGATCTTTTCTGGTTCCAGTCCTCTCTCAAAGCCCCGAGCAATATCATTGCTCTGCTATAAATAGAAGATAAAGAAAGGTTACTTACAGCTTGGAGAAAGAGTAAAAAAAAAATTCTGTTTCTCAGCACAACAAGCTCAATCTGGGTTAATATCATGTGATACCACTTCTGTCACTGATTCAAAAAAATTCTTAGGACTTAAGAAATATAATAACTAGGTTAAGTCGGTGACAACTATGATGCCAAGAGATTTTTTTTTTTCCTTTTGCAAGAAGATGCAATTGTCCTTCCTTGTATTCCCTTGAAAAGATTCAGAGTGACCCTTACAAGTCTTTAAGGTCCCATGAGATGTTCTGAAGTCACTATTTAGAAATTCCTCTAATCCTCCTACTCACTCTGAATCTCTCTAGTGTTCTAGGCAGCTGCCCCTGTCCTATAGTTTCTGAGATGACAAGCAAGTTCATGTTTACTCTACCTAAACTTTTTCTCACCTTAAAAACTTCAAATATACCATCTCTCTCAACTCTTTTTTTTTTTTCTTTTTTAAGTTTTCGGCGGACACAACATCTTTGTTTGTATATGGTGCTGAGGATGAACCCGGGCCGCACACATGCCAGGCAAGCGCACTACCGTTTGAGCCACATCCCCAGCCCTTACCCTTAACACTGAACAATAATTTAAATTTTTCTTTTCACATAGTCATCTATGTTATGAAAGAACAGAGGTAAAAATGATACAAGGCTGATGACACAAAACAGTTTCAAAGATCACAAATTCTAATACTCACACACTTGGTTGGAGAGAAGACCCTGGTCTGCCTATCCCCTCCAATGTGAATGAGCTGTTAGTGAAGGTAGAATTGGACTGTGATTATGAACTAACTAACTAGTTGATAAGTCACAAGAGAAGTGCTGAAACTTGGTTTAAATGTAATCATTATCTAGACAGGGTCTTATCCAGGTGGAGAGCAAGAAAATAAAATTTTATATAAAACATAATTTTTAAAAACTATATCATGGAAGATAATGCAAGCTTATCTAGTAGCAGCATACTAAAAAATTTAGGAAAACTATCCAAATGAATGAAATCCCTTGTGTCTAATTTTTATAAGATCTCTTTGATCTAAAATTCACCTTACTTTCCTCTAAGAGATGCAGGGTTCAGGTGGCCCCCAAAGATACAGAACCCACAATAGGAAAGAAATTCCAGGCATGGATCAAGGGGAAATACTGACTTTTAAAAACATAGCCTCTTTTGAGGGTGCTTAAGGGGAAGAGGTTCCCAGATGTGCACACAGCTGCTCACAGCTGGAAAGCTGGCGCATGGTCTGGGTAGTAAATCATAGTTGGCGGCTGAAAACAGTTTGCCACATAGGGAGGGAAGAGGGGATGGGGGTGGGAGAAAAGGAGCTGAGGCGAGGTAAATGCTAAAATCATCAGAGACAGTGATTTTAAATCAGGCATAATACCAACTAACCAATTTTTAATGCAATGGTGTTAAAAAAAAATGCAATCCTCCTCTGTTCCTCTATACTTTAAAACATACAATCACCTATCTTCCCAGCTGCCTACCTGATAGCCACCAGTACTGCTCAGAATGCTATCAAGGGCCTCGGGTGAACAGCACAGGTAGGGGTTGTTTTCAAGGTCGGCAGCCTCAGAATCAGGCTTAGGAATGAAACTCTGTACTGGCCAGTGGCGCTAAGCCAGATTACTCAGATTGCTCCTTTGCAAAAGGACAGAAACCCTAGACTGAGGACATACTCACTACCTGCCACAAATGCCTAACTAGAAGTTTTATACTATGTTATTTTTGCTCTCTTAATTTAGACAGAAACTGAATAAAATAGTAAAAGCCAGAATACAAAGGACTCATAAAAAAGAAGAGACTCAAGACCTCCCTCCTTAGAGAAGGGAAAGCATTCTCAAATCCTGTATCATTACAATATATCATAATAATATACAGACCTCACCAAAATAGGGCAGTTTTTAAAATAAGGTTGCAAAAAACAAAACAAAACAATTATTTGGGGAAACAAATAAGGACATAGAAATTGTGAGTCCCCTTTCACTTGCAGCTTCCAATCTTTCATGCTCACTTCTTTTTAAGCTGTTTTTCCATATCTTGCCCTATGAAGACCAGGAATCACTTGTGTAAGATTTTCTAAACCATGATTCCTGGGTCCAAACCACAGAAATTCTCCTTGAACTAGTCTGGGGGTGCATCTTGGGCACTGGAGATTTTTTAAAGCAGCCCCCCAGGTGATTTTAATGTGCAGCCAGTGATAGGTATCCACGCAGAATAAAGATAAATAGAGGTGCTTGTGGCAGTGATGCTGGAAGACTCCGAAGTGGACTTATGCTTTTATTTTATTAAACTTTAAGTGTGTGATATATCCTTCACCACAAAAGGTTTGTAATCTTGAAATAAATGAAAGGAATAAAAGCTGGAGGGTGGTGTGTGTTTATGTGCACACATGCAGGTGAAAAAGGAGGTAATAACAGTGCTTATGCTAGTTACTTGAGAGCTAAAGAGCACAGATTAAAGCAACTGAATCAAACAAAAATTTCATAAATATACTTTCCAAATAAACAACAAAAAGATTCAAAAGGAAGATTAAAATTTCTTTTGTGAAGTATGAAACTATAATAGGATCAAGAGAAAACAGAAATGTCAGTTAATTGTATATTATGTGAATTTCATCTCAATTAAAAAAATAGAAAGGGTTGAAAACAAGTACTATCATTAAAACAAATAAAGGTCTTTTCCATTCTTAAAAAATTCATCAAAGATTCTCCCTCTCTAAAATAACTAAATCTTCTATTTACTGAGAAGGCAAACTAGTTAAATGTTTTACAGATTTAATTTTGCCACTTTAATACAAATCCATTGACCACAAATTACATTTCCCACTCAGCCAGAAGGGGGCGCTGCAGTTAACCAACAAACCTCCTGAAAGCTTTTGTTCTAGGTACATCCTTAGAACAGAAATACCTAAAATATGGCCCCCTATTTAGTTAAAAACAGTTTGTGAATGCTATGGTTTGCACACAAAGTGTTCCCCAAAGACTATGTGTCGAGGCTTGGTCCCCATGCAGCAATGTTAGGAGGTGGGGCTTTTGGGAGAATGAATCCACTGATAGCTGAACGGGATACTAGGGGGTGGTGGAATCTATAGGCAGGGGGGCATGCTTTTGAGGAAGTAGGTCACAGGGCATGCCCTTGTTGGTTCCTGGCCTCCCCTTCCCCTTTCTCCTCTGCTTCTAAGCTGCCATGAATTGAGCAGCTCTGCTTTGCCATTCCCTTTGGCCATGATGTCCAGCCTAGCCTCAGACTCAAAGCAATGGAGTCAACAACCATGAACTAAAAGCTCCAAAACAATGAGTCAAAACAAATCTTTCCTCTTCTAAGTTTTGTTTTTTTTTTCCCTTCATGTATTTGTCACAGCAACAAAAAGCTAACACAGTGGCACAGTGGGGAACAGGGAAAGGAAACTTACCTCTCTCTTTTTTTTGGATTTGATATCATCAGCACTGTTTGAAAAATTGGATTTCCTCTTGTTACTTTCTGACTTCTCCCTGGGTTTGTTATTCTCACCCTCCTTCATCTTCTTATACTTTTTCATAAACTCAGAAATTAGCTCAGGACAATCCAAATTTTTCTCTGGTTCCCAAGTATTGTGCTCCCTGGGCAACAAGATTGGAGAAAAGAGGAAAATGAGTGGACAAAAAAATCAGGCGTTTTTTTGTTGTTTTTTGAACCAGGGATTGAACTCACTGAGCCACATCCCCAGCTTAAAAAAAAAAAAAAAAAAAAAAAAAAAAAAA